TTCACTGACCCCTGAGGTCCCCCCAGCTCTACACCCTGGACCTCAGTTTCCCCATGGGGGGGCTACCTGTCCCTGAGGTCCCACCAACTCTGAATCTAAGCTCCTAACGGCTCCCTGTGCCTCAGTTTCCTCATTTGTAAGAGGGTGGGGGGAGTTTCGCTGACCCCTGAGGTCCCCCCAGCTCTACACCCTGGACCTCAGTTTCCCCATGGGGGGCTACCTGTCCCTGAGGTCCCACCAACTCTGAATCTAAGCTCCTAGGGGCTCCCTGTGCCTCAGTTTCCTCATTTGTAAGAGGGTGAGGGGAATTTCGCTGGCCCCCGGTATCCCCCCCAGCTCTAGGCCCCTCTGGACCTCAGTTTCTCCATCTGTAAGGGGGGGGGTAGCTAGTCTCTGAGGTCCACTCGATCTCTTGATTTAAGCTCCCAGATGTTCACTGAGCCTCAGTTTCCCCTCCTGCAATATGGGGGGGCCGAGGCTATAACTTCCCTGGTGCCTTGGTTTCCTCATTTGTAAAATGGAGGGGGATCTCCAGCCTCTAGTACCCCCACCCATCTCCATGCTCCAGGGCTTCCCCGGACCCCCCTTATGAAGGGGGGGCTGCTCTGCCCCCTCCCCATCCAGCTCCCCAGGAGTCCCCCTCCAAATCTTTCGGGGGTGGGGGCGGAAGGCCGCCGCGTTACGTCACGGGCTCCCCTTTCCCGCCCTTTCCCGCCCCTCCCCCACCCCGCGGGGCGCGCGCTCAGCAGGAGCCGTTACGACCGTTGGAGGACGAGAGGTGGGGGGAGGGAAGGAGCCAGGAAGAGCACCGCCCCACCCCCGCAGGTGCGCGCGCAACCGCCACAGTTCGCTCCGTCTTGCGCAGTCGCTCTCCTCACCTCGTGGCGCACTCCGTGTTTTTCCCCCAGCCCTTTGTGTAGGGGTCTGTGTGCGCGTGCGTGAGGGAGAGGGCGGAGGCGCCCGGGAGGGGGTTGGGGGCAGGGTGGTGAGCTCAGCCCCAGGTGTCGGGTTTCGGCCGCTCCCTCCGCCCCCCCCTCAGGCTCCGCCCTTCCGCCCTGGCCCCGCCCTTTCATGCCCCGCCCCCGTCCGCCATTTCGTGGCTCCTCTCGGGCTCGGCGCCGGCCGCGTGGTGTCCACATCATGGACGCCCGGCCCGGAACTGGGGCCCGACAAAGGGCGGCCGGGGGCGGTGCGGCCGGCGTGCGCGCGCGCGCGGGAGGCCCCTGCGGGAGCGCGCGCGCTGTGTGCTTGGGGACGTGCGGTGTGCACGTGTGATTTGTCAGTTTTGTGTCCTTGTGGCCCTGCTTGTGCGCCTGCGCAGTGCTGCTGCGTGCGCTCCGTGTGTGTGTGTGTGTGTGTGTGTGTGTGTGTGTGTGTGT